CCCCGCCCCCTCCCCCCGATGAAATTCCATGTTGTAGTGGACCAATGATTCAAATGCCCTGGTGGCCACCTTGGATGGATATGTCACCCCAGAATAAGCGTCAACACGAAACTGAGGAACCGGATATGACGCTTGGATCTTGAAACAAATATGACGTAATGGAATACAGTGTAGCATATGTTAATGAACCGGATATGACATAATGGATTTGTGTTACATCCGCTGTCATTGCCCGTCATTTTTATTGGGCAGCGTATAAAGATGGAAAGACTCGTAGTGACTGGGGTTCTCGTAGTGACAAGGACTCCTGGTATAGCGTAATGATTATTTGAAAACTATCTATGCATATAAAATCCTTTGCGTTGTTTTGTTTCGTTTTGTTTAACACCAACTGTCTTAATTGCATTATTGATTTGAAGAAGAAAAGCCGAATACAACGTTTGTCGACCTGAGCCAAAGAGAGAGCATATTGCAAAGCATTGTGGTATTGGTAGTAAAATGACGTAATCGTAAGTCTTTGATCGCCGTAATACAGTGAGGAACTTCATATGGTATTGATGGTAGTGTTTCCACTAAGAACAGTCCATTATAATTTACTGGAGACCGCGTGAAGTATCATCCTCGACAAGCTGAAATAAACAAAGTAGATGTTCAAAAGAATGAATGAATTGATGGATGGATGGATGGATGGATGGACGGAGGGATGGATGGAGGGAGGGAGGGATGGATGGATGGATGGATGGATGGATAAATGGATGGACGGGACGGGATGGGACGGAATCATTGCATAAGATGCAAGTTAGGTGTATGGGATGGGATAGCATGGCATGTGATGGGTTGGGATGGGATGGGATGGGATGAAAGCATAGATTGATAGCATAACCAAAATTATCATATAACCAGTATCTGCCAGGGAACGCGCTCTTAAAAAACCTTCGGGAAAATGGCGTGAGCAGGGCCGTACGGCTTTGAGCGAGCAGGGCCGTACGAATGAATGCGTACGGCCCTACTCGAATCCACGCGCTTTCACTTTTTTAGCTCTTATTTACTATTTCTTTCTTTCTTTTATTATATTATTCTTTTTTTTCGAGAGGGTCATATGAAAAATGCTTATTGACTGAGTTAGGTCGAGCCGCACTGGAAAATATTTGGCTCTCAGTCATTTGTACGGCGTCACCTCGAGCCAAATATTTTCCCGTACGGCCCTCCCACTCAGTCAATAAGTACATAATACTACGAATAGTCTTTTATGAGGAAATGTGTAAACATTGAAATCAATCCTAACGTACCTCAATGCTCACTTGTTTTACTAGACTTGCTGTTTTTCTTATTATCATCTCCAGGGTAGGGGGGACCCCAAGGGTCAGGTGGAAAAGGCCATTGAGGAGATCTTTTGTTTCCTAATTTCAATTTAGTTTTTCTTATCGTTGCCCTAAAAAAGGAATTTATTAAAACAAATTTATTTTTTCATCAAACCATTTAAAAACATAAATACAAAAAATACGATAAAAAATACGGTGGATCTGTGTGGGATAGTTGAACAAAAGACAAACCTTTGTAATTCACTTTCATCTTGAAAGTCGAGTGAGTCGTTCATAATATCATCCATTTTATCTGCTCTTATAACTTCATCTCTTGATTCCTTCGTATTTACTGGCGAGCAGCGAATTTCCTTGAAAAACAACACTTGAACAGCGAAAACTAGCACAAGAATACGAATGCTTGCCATTTTGTTATTCATGAGAAGCACCAGGACACTCGGCAGATAGAGTACAATAAATATAGCATTCATTGATTGTATTGTTTCTATATTTCGTGTTACTTACTTAATGTTTGGAAATTACATCAATTTGCAAAAGTTCATAACCTGTTTTTTGAGCTAAAATGTTTTTGAAAATATGACTTGAAATAGTACAGAAACCTGTTTGTTTTGATCTCGAGTTAAAAAAAATGGAAGTAAACTATATGCGTTAGCTTATATTTATATTTTTAATGTCTTTGCCTTTTAAATAAAAATGTACCAATTGCTAAGTATTTTAATTCGTTCTTACAAATGAAATATTAAAATTTAGACCCAAATGTTGAATTTGTCCTAATAATTTTCCTTTTATTCTGTTTATGAAAACCAGGACTTTGTTTGTACTTAAGAATCACAACTACGAAAAAGTAATTCAAATTTTAGTATTTAAACTATGCATATTCGTTACATAGCTAATACATTCCTCCTATTGGCTAGTAAATATTACTACAAATGATGCGTTGATGTGAAAAACAGTCCCGTGCTTTCTCTCTCCATATTAGGAAATTCCATAGCGAACCCGTCTTTTGGACTCGGGTATTAGGAATACGCTTGCGTTTCTCTCTAGGAAATATCAAAAAGATTTAAATCCTGCTTTCCGCAGGCTCTGATCAGAATTTTTGTCTTCAGTAGCGCATGCGTCAATTTCTGATTTTCGTAAAATCTCGTACCGAGGGCCTGCGTTTCTTCTGGCCTGCTCTGGCATAACCAATTTTTTGAGACCAGTATTTCTTGGACTTCCGGTATAAGAGCGTATGCGTTCAAAGATGTGCCAAAAATATAAATAAATATATGTTTCCAATTTCTAATTTTTATTTGATCGGAAGTCTGAACACTGAACTCTGTTTGAAAGCATGGTTTTCATTGATTACATTTCACTTCCGGAAAATGGATCATGACAGAGCCCTCGTTCTTCGCCGCAGACCAAAAGCTACGCAGGCTCTGGGTACGAGATAAGCTTTATTATAACCAATGTAAGATAAATTATTAGCCGCTTCAATGTTGAGGAGAAAACTGGGTCGATTTCGCATTGCAGAGCATTGTGGGGCTGTTCTAGGGGACATATTTCCAAGATGGCGTCTATTTTGTCCATAAAACAAGCTCAAAATACAATGCACTGCCAACAACGAAAACCCAGTTTTTTTCTCGACCTTTGAATGGCTTAATAGAACTTAGTCTAGTCTGTCTTTAGCAGGATAGCGTTAAGTATTGATTGAATCTTTTAGAGCGCTACACTAAAGAAAAATACTAGATTTCAGGTGGCCATTTTTTCCCAAGCCTGCATTTTCAAATGCTATAACCAAGGATGACTTATGTAATCAAGTACCGCATTCTTTACAACAGTTACTTTTTTATTTCCCTAAGCGCAAAAATATCAAAAGACAAACCCCAGTAAGGCTCAGGTCAAACGACGAACTTCATATGAGCCGAACCTAATTATCACAATGGATGACAAGGCGGTCTTCTTTGTTGTTATTAAGTTCGGTTCGTGAAGTTCGACGTTTGACCTGAGACACCGTGAGGTACTCGATCATATTTTTTTTAGTTTTCTAATAATTTTTAAGTATTAAATCAACTGTTCATTGTGAAGGTAAACATTGCCATTGATAAAGCCATGAATATTGAATGACAACGGAAGATAAAGACCCCTTAATTTTTTAAGATTATTTAAGTAAAAATATAGTTGCATTTTTATTAAACATAAATCGAAAACAATAAAAAAAAACCCAGACCCTTTTCAAAGGTATCTTGGTTGGGAGGCTAACATGAAAATACAAAAGAAATCAACTTTTTGTCGATGGAATTTATGGCATTCTTAGCCTCTTAGACAATTTTTAAAAGAGTGCAATATTTCATATCGATGTTTTCACAGACGATTAAAGTTATAATCTCTAATATCTTTACTGGCCAAGCGTGGATATGGCCTTTAAAAGATTCGTTTATCCATTGTGCTCATTTAGCAGGCGTTGTATTCATCGACTGACAGATACGATCCGGTAGATATATTCTTAGCTAATCGTCGCTACAGCCCTATAACCAGCAAGAAATTTGGCCCACCAGTCGAAATACTCTGACCACTTTGCACTCCATCAGAAATCCAATTTTTGACTTCATTCGTATTGCCTTTTCTGATAAGAAAAAAAAATTGGTGACAAACATGAAAGCTTGTTTGACAATATTGTGGCTATGCTCGGCTGTTTTCGTTACTTCGTCGGCAGTACCATTGAAAGTCACGAAGACACTACGACGTTACAATAAACCGAATCAGGTGAGAAGGACAAATATTTAGATTTAATGTTAGCTGGAAGGTGTGATTTTCTAAAAGCTTGTAAACACACAGAGGAGTTTCTTTATTTAAAAGAAAAGATAGAAAGAAAAGATAAACAAAGGAAGAAAAAAAAAGGTAAAAAAGAGGTGTAAGTAAGAGATGGACATAAAAATCGAGATTGGAATATTTGAATGTCAAAATCGGTAGTTTTACTTACAAAGAAATAAGGAAAACGTACATAATTTCTATTCGTGTGGAAATGCTTTGCGAGAAATTTTGGAAAAAGAATTTGTTATCCCTGATTATAAGCGTTTATATTAAATATTTAAATGAGTCAAGTATTGTTCCTGCATACGATGGTTAGTACTGACACAAGCCAATAAACACTACTCCTATAGAATCGACACTACACCTCTTTCTTTCTTTCTTCTTTTCCTTCCTTCCTTCCTTCCTTCCTTCCTTCCTTCCTTCCTTTCTTTTATTTATCTTTTTTTCTTTAGATTGAGTAATAAGAAAACTATTACCATGCAATTACGAACTCGAAGTTTTTCAATAACACTTGCCTATTTGTATACAAATAAGTAAAATGCCAATTTCTGTTCTCTTTTACACGACAGACAATACGAAAGAGAAGCATCATGGGAGTAGGACCCAGGCCTTTCGCTTCATTAGGAGCTCCTTTATTTGCGATGCCTCAACTTCCAGGAATAGTTAACTATGGATGGATACCAGGGGATGGTGGGCTATGCAATGGAGCGTTTAATTGTCCTCATTGGATGCCATGTAAGTCAGTTACAACCTTACTGCGCACGCCCGACGAAATAGGACTGTATCGTGCATGCGCAGTAAGAACGATAAAGTCTTTCAGCTAAGGTCGAGTGTACTTTTTTTAAACTTCGGCTAACGAGATGCATTCTGGTCTAAAATGGGTATAAACATCACCAAATAAGGCATGAGGGAAAACATTTGGTACCAAAGGTGGACCACTTAGCGCCAATAGAATGCATTTGTTCAAAAATAGAATAAGCTTCATTGAAAACTTCTAAGATGGATTTCTGCCACAAAATACGTGATAGAGACTTGAGATTTGAAACGGAAGAGTAAGTAATTTCTTTTTGGGGTTCTGTTCATTGGAGATTTCATTCAAGCATTGTTAGTAATGTGATCAACTCATCCACAGGGAAGACAGACTATGAAAGTTCCGCGAAGAGAAGATGTTTACATTTACTATACCCTTAACGTCACAGATTTTGCAAACATTAGAGTCCCCTAATGCCCAATTTAGGCCGGTAACTTAGCTACGTGGTTAGTTATATATAAGATGGAAATTGTAGCTATGATTGAGAAGAAACGACAAAATAAAAATAGAAGAAAAAGAGGCATATTATTATGAATGATGTTCGTACTTTTCAGGCTGTTGCCCTCCTGACGAATCGGAAGGAAAAGAAGGAGGAGAGGAGAAACCACCAGGAGGAGAGAAGCCACCAGCGGCTGGAGGAGAAAAAAAGCCCCCTGGTGGAGAGGCCCCACCGCCACCTCCCGGGGGTGAAGGAAAAAAGCCCCCTAATGGAGGAGAAAAGCCCCCTGGTGGAGAAGAAAAGCCCCCTGGTGGAGAGGGCCCACCGCCACCTCCCGCGGGTGGAGGAGAAAAGCCCCCTAGTGGAGGAGGCTCACCAGCTCCTGATGGTGGAGGAGGAGAAGGAGGAGCTCCACCGGCATCACCACCTGCAGGTGGGGAAGGGGCTAATAAACCAGCTGCTGGAGGAGAGGCACAGCCATCGGCAGCAGCAGCAGGTCCTGAAAGTGACGCACCTCAACGTCCAAATGCTGTTCCTGCTGCTCCAGCTACAGTCGCAGCTCCTGCTGTTGTATACGCTCCAGCACCAGCAGTAGCTGCTCCTTTGCCAGCAGCAGCACCGCAGTCAGACCCAGCCGTAGTTTCAAGAGTGGAAGCTCCTGCTAATACTCCTGCTGCAGCAGCTCCTTTGGTAGCCGCAACTGAACCTGCACCTGCTGCTGCTCTACCTGTAGCTGCTCCCGCTCCGGCTTTAGCTGCTTCCATCCCTGCAGCTGCTGTCCCTGGTACTGCACCTGTTGCTGCTGCTGCAGCTCCTGCTTTTGTTGCTGCTGCCCCTGTTCCTGCAGCAACAGGCTAAAATGATATCATGTCTACATCGTATTTCATCCACCGTGATCAAAGATCATTGCTTAGCTTATATCGTTGAATAAAGTTCATTCATTTTGTACCCAGTTTCTTGAACTTGTATTTTTACAGCCACATTCGTAGACCTAGCATAATGCAGTATAGCATTAAATGCATATCACCCCGGCAGCAATGTAAATAACAGAATCAAGGGTTGGGCTTTGATATCTGGTAGGACAGGGCTACTAAAAAATGCCAATGGTTTCAAAAAATTATTAGTTTAGTTTTCTCTTCAGGCTGCAGTTTCTCTCATGCGCTCGGGAACCTTATGTGTTGTTTAATCTATTCAGGTTACTGTACCCACCACAGGCAGCCCGTCAAATGGAAATCAATAATTCCCAAGAGGTGTCTAGGACCTCAAAATGGGGCTGAGCACATAATGCTAAAGTCTTGAATTGGGCTACCTATGCTCCACACGTAATACGTTAGAAAGTTGTGAGGGTGGAAGATCGATGGCGTGTTGTCCTCGTGAATTCGCCCTTCGTTGCTAATAGGTATTAATGTACACTCAAAATCATTGTCGGATTCAAAGCATAGAATATAGAAGCTGAGACCAAAAGGTGTTTTGTGAAATTAAACAGTCGAAATATGAAACGTTTTAAAAGCCTCCACGTTTTCTGTCAGCAACAATTTATGAACACTTCCACTCGTAGTATCGCCAGATTTTCCATGTACCATTTTGGTCTCAGTTTCTAAAGCCCTATGTTCTTGAACCCCAAAATTATTTAAATCTAGTGACTTGCGTATTGAATTCGTATTTTTGCCAGACTACTCTATAAAAGCAGACATCTCTACCTTGGGCGTTATATTTTGCAATTACGAACCACTTGTTATTCTCTTAACAATAAGATTCTTTGTTTGGGTTGTATCCAATGTCACGTGTCTTTTTATGCCCAAAACCGTTAAACAAAGGAACGATACTACTAGGGAATGAGTGTAGTCTAGTTTAAAAATACTATAGAAACAAAGATAGGAGGTCTTTTACAGCTGATTTGCAGTATGATTGAAACTTTTTCCATGTCAGTAACTTCGATCTCCCCCAACCAACACCCCAAACAATCATCTCTGCCCATCATTCCCCCACCCCTCCCCCCCTACCCCACCAACCCACCCTTCTTATCTTCACAAAGCATAGTCACTAATAAACCCCCAAAGAGAAGAGCGGTATTAATTAGGCTCTCAAAGTTTTTAGCGCAACACACTATGCACTGCAATGTTTTTACGCGGTAAAATTAGCTGGAAGACCGGTGACGTCACACTACATATATCAACCGACATCAGGCAGTATATTGTCCAATGTGTATTTCAAATGATTATTTACTCCAAGACGTTGACTTTGATATCTAGCTATCAAAAAATCCCAGAATTTACTAAAAAAGGTTTAGTATCAAAAGCAAGATTCACTTACTTGAACTAGTAGCACTTTGTCACCGTGGACAGACAGACAAACTTCATAGGGCAGCTGGTTGGAAAAGTCGAGGGAAGAACAATTAAAAGGTAACGGCTAATGTCGTATTTTGTGATGCTATAATTTTATACAATATTATCTTATCTTTTTTATTTATCTCTCTATCTGTGTCTTATATGTAATGCGGCAATTGAAATTATTTTCAATCTTCAAACATTGGGATTTTTTTATCATTTATTATTATTTTTTATAAATTTTTAAAAAATTTTTTTATCAAGTATCGATAATCAGATCAGTGTACAAGGTCTATATCGATGAGCTATTCTTTATTCGTCTAGCTAAGGTTTATCACCGTATTAGAGTGATCGATTTTACTTCGCTCTTGAACTGAGAATTAAGTCAACTTGAAAAAGCTAACTTAAAAAAACTGAACAAATTTATGCAAATTTATGTAGGTCTACGATCTACTGAGGTCTACTAAACTTACTAATTTGCCCAAATCTGTGCAAATTCGTACAAAGTTTTTTAAGGGCATATGTTATGCACGTGCACTCTAGTACACACTAATTCCATTGTTTTACTTTGACTGCTGCAAACTAATTGTACAACTTCGTTAAACGGGTCAAGTAAAATCACTTTACTCTAATTCATTGCCTAGATCGAAGTAACAGACGGTATTTGAATTAATTACATTTAGATAATCGTACTCTAGGGTTTTCTTTTACAAACACGAGCCCTAGAACTTAAAAAAAAAAAATTAAATGAGATATCATTCTAGAACGACGTACATGTCAATCATCACTCGATCTATGTTCAGCTGTTAATCATTTCGCGCCAGCGGGAAAATTATGGCCGCGCGCGTCTGTTGACCTTACTTCATCCTGGTGTAGCGTAAATGGTTTTTGATTCTTTATATTACTGCAGTTTTCAAAAAAACATGCGATCTCTGAGTCTGCGAGCTGGACGCTGAAATTTGGTTTTTCGCTGCCGTCAATCAAATCTAATCAGTTGGTACTTTTCATATTTTTTCATATTAAATAAAAGATGTAGTTATCATTATAATTTTCAATCTTTTTAACCGCTTCGAGATTGAGGAAAAAAACTGGGTGGCATGACTGTACACTGAGGGGCGGTCTCCCTGTCTTGAATTTACTTTTTCCCCAAGAACAGTGACATAATGCTCTGGGCCGGGTTGTTCAAAGCTGGATTAGCGCTAATCCAGGATTAACTCTATAGGTCTTATTAAGAGTTAACCCAGGATTAGCACTGATCGGGCTTTGAGCAACTGGGCCCTGTAATGCAGACTCTTCCCGGTTTTCTCTTCAACCTCGGGATGGCTAATACATGATAATATTTACTATCGAGTAGACATATGTCAATATCCGGGATTGGGTAGCCTTTGGTTTTTCAACTAACTGCCTTCGGTAAGTACTTCATTTTAGAGGTTTCAAAAACTGTTTTTGATTTGTTTTTTCAAGAAATGGAGAAATTCCTTCATTCTTTCTTTCAAAGAAAGATTATGCCTTCAGAAGCCGGAGAAGAAGACGATGACAAGAACAAGGAATGGAGCAATGAAAAAGCAGAAAGCAGTTGTCTGAACAAGATATCAATGGTTTGGTACAAAGCTTTTTATATGTTCTTCATTGGCGCATTCTGGATGAAGATTGTCTATCTACCGCTGTACTTCAAACAGATTGGCTTGCCGGCTCACTATGCAGGGGTGCTGGCTGGAATCTCCCCATTCCTCCGCGGAGCTGGTTCGTTTTTCTTAGGTCTTTTGGCCGAGAAACCAGAAACTCGTAAAGTTGTGTTGCTTATGAGTCTAGTTGCACAGATTGTTACACCATTACTTTGCTTGATTCCTCATCCAGCCGATCCCATTCCTCAGGGTCCTTATATGAAAAATGGCACATGGGTCGTTAATATAACGTCAATTGCTCCCATGGGGGACCCCCCTGCGGAAGATTTTCTGGATACTCTTCAAAACTGCTTCAAAGGGAATTGTCTTGGGTACCAGCTCATGACAGATGATTCGCCAGAGATACCAAGGTTGAATCAAAGTGATCATGCCAGAAACTCCACCCTTTCAAAGCCTTCCCTTCTCAACATCAAACTTGACGTCATATCGACATTTTGGATCATACTGGCAATTATTACCGTGGGGGAGTTCCTTGGTGGTCCAGCGCGCAGTCTCGCGGATGCAGCTACGCTACAAGCTCTTGGAGAAGACAAGAAAAACTTTGGTTATGTTCGCCTGTGGGGTAACGTGGGGCAGCTAATGTTAACGATTATCATTTACGCGTTGTTAAGATACGAGCACGTGACTCTAAATGGTATCGAACAAGGGAACTATCTATTTGCAGTTATTGTGATCGTGTTTTGGATGGCACTAGCATTCCCTACAGCTCTGGGCTTCGCGTGTGACCATAAGAAAGACATGTCAGCCGACATGGAAAGCAACGGGAAGGAAGATTCAAATGGCATTAACAACCTTTCAGATGTTTTAATGAACTTTTCGTCTCTTTCTCTTTTGGCAATCACTTTTTGCATTGGTATGCTCAATGGTACCTTCAACACCTTCATGTTCTGGTTCGTAATCGATATTGCAGGTAGCAGGGGCAACCTTATCATAACCGTAGCCTTAGCTCTCAGAATCACCTACATAATTCTGGCCTTCAGGGTGTCAGGGCCTATCATTGGCTTCCTTGGCGTGATGAATGTGACACATGTGTCATTGCTTCTGTACTCGGGTATATTCGTCATGTATGGCTTAGTGAAGAACCCTTGGTTGGCAATCATACCCGAAGTGTTTCAGAACATTATCAAAGCGCTGACTGAAGTGGCTGTGATCTTGTTCTTTGGAGAAATTACGCCGTTTAGGTGGGCAGCCACTGTACAAGGTTGGTACTGAAGCAAAGAAAATTACATTAGAAACCGTTCAATTTTTATCGGGGGGGGGGGGGGGGGTAGAAGTGACAAAATAGCAAAGTGCATTTTTTTCCTTCCCTTATACCTATTTTAAACATTTTGAAAGCTATTCTATATATTATTCATCAATTATTTCAAGCCCCCTTTTTTCATGCAGGGTTTCAAAAATTCCAACCTCCCCCTCTGTCACGTGTCACTCTTTCTAGAAAAAGACGATTATTATTATTATTACTATGATCCATTATAGTTCCCCATTGTTCCTTTCAGGGATCGTACAGTCTTTACTAGAGGGATTTGGATTCGGTGTTGGTCCAATTATTGGTGGATTCCTCGTGATGTCGCTAGGCATACGATATACTTTCATGTTATTTGGCGCGTTTGCTACTGGCATTTGTATCTTCTCCTTGTGTACACACGGTATCAACTGGGCTGTCATGCGTGCTACAGAAGATCAAGAAAAGAGATTTTCCGCACCCATGCCTATCTCAATGAAATAAGACCTGTCCTTGCTTTATACCAACCCACCAAAAGGGGTCTAATTTTTTCTACATATTTTTATATGATATATACACGTTGAGTGGCAATGCATCGCCCTACAGTTACCAATGCTCCTAAGTGAGCATGAATAACATCTTTGTGGTTGCTCCATTTATTTTCTCAATTGCTGGGTTTTATTTGACGTCATTTCCTGTCTCGTGCGGAATGTTCATCGGCTGAATCAATAGTTTTCAATAAAATTATTTTGGTTGTACAGTATGGTGGTGTCAGTGTTTGACAATCATTTGGAGCAGATAATGAGATGAAAAGACTTATCAGCTGATTGAAACTCAGCAATTGGCCCTTTTTTTTAAAGAAAAGAAACTGGGTGGGGTTTTGAATTTCAAACTAATTAGTAAAAAGCGTGATTTGAGAAAGCATCTCAACATTGGTAAGACTAGCAAATTTGAACATGCTTCAATCAAATGAACCAGAATTACAAGCTTTCAAAAGCGTCGAACATTTACAAATAATGTATTGTTATCAAAAGGAGGCAAGCGTCCCGGTTAACCATACATTCTTTGTAAATTTTGACACTTTTGAAAGCTTGTAATTCTGGTTCCTTTCGTGCATCACACGCATGCGCAAACGTTTTTGTCTAGCATTTTTACTAAAAGCGTACAGTCTCGTACCCACAGCTCCTCGGTCTCGTTCCTCCCCCGAAGAGGAGAGGGAGAGGAACGAGATCGAGGAGCTGTGGGTACGAGACTGGTATCAGTATTTTTTTTCAACTTAAACAGATGTATTTTGCAATTAGGTGTTTGGAATACATGTTTGGAATAGAGAGGCTTATACCTACTGACTTGATATTCATTATGCTGCACGTAGGAAGTGATGAACTACTCTTTCTTCCGTCCCGTCCCCTCTCGATATACTCCGTACATTCAAATAATTTCAACATTGATTAGGTTAAATATTTCCTTTATTGAATGTTTACGATAAATGTTAGATGATTTTAGCAATTCTTCATCAAGTATTTGTACTAAAACTTTCTAATTAATAAAAATAGGCTTGTAATAATTTATCAACAATTGATTGGATTTTGATAATCTATCGAATTGTTTCATGAGATTTTGCATGCATTAATACGAATAATTGATTTTCTAAGAATTTTTATATTGCAACGTAGTAAGTGAACGTCTTCTTGATATCGAAATATTGCAATTATTGGTATGACCTGCTTGACAGCCGGTTTAAACAGGTTTAGGATTGGCTGCAGGAGTAGTGTTGACTTGCGGAGCTGGATTCACTTGTTTGATCTGGTCAGAGACTTGACCTGCGGATTTGCCTTTGACGGCCGTCGGCTTATCTTGTGTGGTGGCACCTTCCCCCTCGCTACCACCTCCAGTATCTCCTCCTTGTCCTCCTCCTCCTCCTTCTCCCCCTCCTCCTCCTTCTCCTCCCCCTTCTCCTCCCTCTCCTCCTTCTCCTTTTCCATCGCCTTCATCTTTACCACCTGAAAAGAAAAGAAAATCATATATCATTTACAAGGGCAGATCCAGAAATATGAGAAAGCTGTAAAAATCCGGCGTAATTGGACAAATCTCAATGCCATTCTGGAGATATTTTTGGAAAAAATTTAAAACAATACATCCCACACTAAATCAGCCCCTGGTTATACCATATGGAATAGTACATTTACATCCGTTTGTAAATTAGACATCAATAGGACATACAGTAGTTATATGTTATCCTATAGTATCCGTGAAGTAAGCGTATCATTACCGTAAAAAACGTATCCGTGAAGAGAGTGTAAAATGATCGTCCCGTACTTGTGATTTGAGTGTGCCATTATAGTACCCGAAATAATAGCAAAGAGAGTGAGTATTTATTGTGTTTATTACTTACAGCAGCACCAATGAGGACATCCGAATCCCCCGCAGCAGTTACCACCACAACAACCACAACCACCACAACCACCACAACCACCACACCCACCACATCCACAACCACCTCCACAACCACCCCCAAAACCACCACCAAAACCACCACCAAAACCACCCCATCCACCAGGCCAACCACCCCATCCACCACCAAATCCAGGATAACCGAATCCAAACCAGTCCCCGGGCATCATATCATAGCCCCCTGGAAATCCATAGCCATATCCACCGAATCCACCTGGGTATCCATACCCAAAGCCACCAATGCAGCGCTTCTCGGCACGATGACGCTTTTCACCCTGAAATTAAACGTAAAATAGCGTTTATTAATTGGGGATTGATGCTTGTGTTTTGTCTTACAGGATTTTCTATCCCCAACGACATCTTTAGATTTAAAACACTATTTCTGCGACCAACGACCCTTTAGATTTAAAACACTATTTCTGCGACCAACGACCCTTTAGATTTAAAACACTTTTTCTGCGATCAACGACCCTTTAGATTTAAAACACTTTTTCTGCACTTTTTCTGCGACCTAGATAGGTCGTGTTATGGCTTCAATAAATTAATTTTTTATGACAATCAGAGCTAGTAAACTTTTAATCTGGCTAGCCAAAATTCCTAAATCTGGAATCTCTGGAAGTGGAAGAAAAACCGAAAGCGTTCTAATAAACGCAACAAAGCTAAAGGCGTCTTGTGAAAGAGGAAGCTAGATCTCGTAGGTGTAAACAGCCTAACAGGTGACAAAATATTTCGAATTGATTCCAGAAATTACATTTCAATTGAAAGTTAAATTCTAAAAATACTGGTACACTAAAAGACTGAAAACTAGAAATAAACTTGCAGATCTAGAAAGATAGGTAAGAATTGAAGTAAAGCAAAAGTAATTTGAGTAATGTAAACTTACTAAAATAGAAAAGTGATGAAAATATTTAGTTCATATTTTAGAGACGGTTTTATTTATATTGGAAAAAAAATTAATAGAGCTGACATAAATATCATGAAATGTTAAATATTAATTGCTGGAATTAGTCAGTTATTTTTTTTAGATTTAAATTCGATTTAAATTTCGTTCAGTTTTTGCTTTAATCTGTAAGACATTTTCCAAATAAAAATGATAAATAATTATTTTTGTATTAACATGAATTAAAATCTATTCTTTGTTAAAAATCTTACGATTTAAAAAAAAATTTTTTGCAAGACCTAATTTAAAAATATATATATCAAATTCTCTTATTTATGGCCGTGTACATCGTAAATTTATTTTTGAAAACGTTATAAATATTTCCGGGTTTTGTTTAAATTCAGACCCCATTGATTATTTGAGTACCTTGCTCATCATCATTCCAATGCATCGATCTTTTTGCTTCTCAAAAAACTGCTTGAAGTCCTTTCGCATTTTGAAAGCATTTTGTACTTTTGGGTTTTTCCTTGGGGAAGCACTTGCAACAGTCACCAAGTATAAAACTAAAGCACAAAGTACTAAAGTGCCTTGATACCTCATGGCTTTCTTTGTTGAGAGTTCTGCGAGGTATTAACACTGTTCAAACTACTTCTTTATGGATTCTTATCACATAGTCACACGTCATAGGGAAAAACTTCCCATTTTTGACATACCAGTTGGTCATGACAACAGCCACCGACAGTCTAAGTAGAGTAAGATTTCTCACCTCAAGCTACTATTTCAAGGTTTACGTCTCCAGTTCACTCACCCTAACCCCTTCATGACCAGTTGGTCATGACAACAGCCACCGACAGTCTGACTAAGTAGAGTAAGATTTCTCACCTCAAGCTACTATTTCAAGGTTTACGTCTCCAGTTCACTCACCCTAACCCCTTCAGCATTTGAAATTACTACAGTTTTTAGTTTTCAGTTGGTTTGAGCTAACTTCGTTTTGTGAAGAAATTTCACGTGTTCCTGTGAATCTCCCTGGAGTTTCCAAAGTCTTTGTCAGATGTATTGTTAATCTTGTGCATTCTTTACTATACCAAGGGTATTCGTAGAATACTTGTACAATGAAATGAGGCTTACAATGAGTCTGTACGTAATCGAGGGACATTACGCCATATATTAGCAATTTCAAAATGGTCCCGATTGTCTTTGTATGAAAGTATGAAAGGTAAAACGTTACCCCTTTATTGCGAGTAAAAGTACACGTTGAAACTTTGGGCTGGAACTTTAACTTCTTATGTGCAACAGCTTTGCGAAACAAGTTTTACGGGGGCGTTACACTGCGCGGTTTCGTTCTGAGACTTGTTCGCGACACAAGTTTCAGAACGAAATTCCACCGTTTCAACGTGTGACACTTTGTCAGCTAACTGAAGTACAAAATCTAGAAAAGTACCATTTGACAGTTAAGTGAGGTAACTAAAAGTTTCGTGCAACTGTACAACTTGTTATGGTTGAGATTTTCTGTGTGGGAAGATGATGGGCACAGGTGTTACATCTTTAGGTAAATTCACAGTCATATGAGTTTTTATTAATCTTGGTTATGAGTAAACGACCTATGCATCTAGCATTAAATAAGGGCTCGAAGTAGACCAATGTGAGAAAATAAACCAAATTCTGAAACCAAATTTTGAATGGCTTGTCTTGTTCCTTTTCATAACTTGTCGTAAGACGTTCTGCAACGTAGCATCACGTGACGGCAGCCATGTTTGATGGAAGGAACACTACCATCGTTTTACATTAGAAAGACTTCAATTCTCAAGAGAAAAGAGAAAACCCTACCGTGACTTACATATAACTCCGGAGCCGGGAATGGCAATCTCAGTTGCACGGTTAATAGGAGGGCTCTCTCACCGGAACGCAACCAGTGCTTCCTGATACTTGGTTAGTTTAATCATAGGTTTCCAAAAACTTTTTTATTATTATTTTATTTCTATTCAAAAATATTGACAATTTTTTTTTCTTTTTGTAACACACATGCATGAATTATGAATAATTGAATGAATCTCAACTTGCCATGCACCGGGGCGATTATAAACCACGTGACTATTTCGGACCATAACTACTGCCACATGAGGAATGTCATGACTAATTCCAATATAATCTTTTTCATATAAGCCATTTAGTATTTATCCTATTCAAAATTTTCTTTTATAAAAGGAATTTAAAGCCTCTTGACGATATCAAAGACTTACCATATTAGAGAATTTGGATAATACCATATAAGGAAATAAGCTGATTTTTTGTATCAAGACTAAATAAGGTTACATATATCGGTGTTTTTTAATTTAATGTCTTTGTAAATCATTCTTCATCCTGTGGTTTTGTCTTGCTGGGCTTGTCACTTAGCTTTTCTGCTGTCTGAAGATTTTTCATTGGTTCATTTGAAGCCACCTTATTTGGAGCTTGATTTGGGGGCTGATCCATTACCTTATTTGGAGATGGAGCAGCTGCCTTATTTGGAGATGGAGCAGCTGCCTTATTTGGAGCTTGGTCCATTACCTTATTTGGAGTTAAAGCTGCTCCCTTAATTGGAGATTGCTGCATTGGCTTGTCGCGTACCTTGGAAGAAGCTTTGCTGGGTTCTTCCTCTTCATTTATTCCTTCGACTTTAAATTGTTTAAAAGATAAGATAAATACCTATTTAAACGTGAGGGTATTTGAAGCTAAAGGTGATAGGCAATAGGGGATAAGCGATAGGAGATTCCAAGGTCATTCCAATATCCAATTAAGAATATCAAATTACTTACTAGTAGTATATAATATAGGCCCGGGGGGGG